CTGAGGGGTGTCTGCCCCGGACTGGCCGGGCGGGGTGGTGATGGTGAGGGGTGTTTGCCGCGGGGCGGGCGGGAGACAAGGCGACGCGCGGACCTTTCTCCATACCCAAGAACGCGCAGACGACGCCCCCGCTGGTCTCGGCCTCGGAGCGAGCAGGAAACCCCGCCCCGCTCCCTCCGCCCGCCTGCTGCCTGAGTGTGGGGGGGTGCGGCGCATGCGCGCTCTGGCGAGGGAGCAGGTCGGCGGCCGGGAGGAGGTCGCGGGGCTGTGCCGGGCCCGAGCTTTGGAACAGCCCGTAAAGAGGGGAGCCCCGTCCCGCCGCGCCGCCCTACAGGTGAGGGGCTGAGCGTTAGCCCTGCTCCTGGGACTCCAGGGCCCCGCCCGGGGCCGGCTGCTCCGCCCCCCCCAGTCCTTTGCTCTCTTCCCCGGGATGGCTCCCCCCGCGCGGCAGGGTCCCCTAACCCCGCCATCCATCCTCCCCCGCGGCTCACCTGCACCCGGCCCCTCCCAGGTGGTTGTATCCAAGCCGCACCCGGTTGCCCTACTCGCTCTGCAAGGAGCGTCGGTTCCCGTACGAAGGGCAGTCTCCCCCCCCCCCCCTACACACTGCGGGGTCGCTGGGGGTCTCCCTGCGCCTGAATACCTGCTGTAGTCATGGACCTGATTTCTTTGTGCTTCATCTAGGGAAGCCAAAACCATGGAGGCCCCACCTGTTACCATGATGCCTGTCACTGGCGGCACCATTAATATGATGGAGTATTTACTCCAAGGTAAGGCTGGTGAGAAGATGGGTTTGATTTCATGTCATATTGCATGCTGCCAGGTTCTTTTGAAAACTCGCAGCTTGCCTGTACCTAACTCATTCCAGTTTTTAACATCGTGAGAGGAAGGAGAGAGGGGGAATAGGAAAGAGAAGAAAAGACCTTACCTCAATCAGATCCTAAACTAGGGAGGTCAGACTTCTTTTGTGAAAGACATTGACCTTTTGGGCTAAAACTCTCCAGAAGCAGGCCATCTGTTTCTGACAGTGCACTGCTTCCAAAAGGAACTCATGTGGACACCCCCTCGCACACACCTTTTCAAAACTCTTTTTTGGTGCAGAATATTTGGGTACTTAATATTTGTTTTGGGCTTTGCTCTTGCCCTTGCACTTTTTGGTTCTGCTGCAAATCCCTCTGAAAGCTTTTGTGACCTTCTCCAGTGTAATTATTAACGTTATATTCGTGGCTCTGTGCTGCTGTTGTATAGACATTGAAATAAGCACTAATGTACCTGCATCTCCTACATGGGTTGTGTAGGGAGAGTGGTCCAGAGATTAGGACTAGTAATTAGAGTTAGGTTTTTTTCTTGACTGCCATTGCCTGTCTGATCTTGGGCAAAGTCATTCAAATGTTATACACCTCAGTTTCCCTTTCTATAAAAAATAAAGTGGGGAAGAATAATATTTTGTAAATACTGTGAGATTCCCAGATGAAGAGCACTGGGTATGTTGTTTCCTGCAGCTTTTGCATCCTCTGCTACTTTTTTGAAAAATTAGTTTGGATGAGCATTTGTTCTAGTTGCTCCTTTTTTTTAAATATGGTGAAATGATTTGGGGTATCCCATACACTGGTGGATGAAACCGTGTAGTCGTAAGGGCAATAGTAAACTGCTCATTGGTGAAATAATGAACTTGTTCTCCCCAGGAAGTGTTTTGGATCAAAGCCTGGAGAGCCTCCTTCACCGGTTGCGTGGTCTGTGTGACAACATGGAACCTGAGACATTCCTGGACCATGAGATGGTGTTCCTCCTGAAAGGGCAGCAAGCCAGTCCCTTTGTCCTGAGGGCACGGCGCTCCATGGACAAAACTGGCACACCCTGGCACTTGCGCTATTTGGGACAGCCAGAAATGGGAGACAAAAACCGCCATGCTCTGGTGCGCAACTGTGTTGACATCGCTACTTCAGAGAACCTTACTGACTTTCTGATGGAGATGGGCTTCCGGATGGACCATGAGTTTGTCGCCAAGGGCCATGTGTTCCGCAAGGGTATCATGAAGATTGTAGTGTACAAGATCTTCCGCATCCTGGTTCCAGGAAACACTGATAGCATTGAGCCCTTGTCTCTCTCCTACCTCGTGGAGCTGAGTGTTGTAGCTCCGGCAGGACAAGATGTAGTTTCTGATGACATGCGAAACTTTGCTGAGCAGCTAAAGCCCTTAGTTCACCTGGAGAAAATTGACCCCAAAAGGCTCATGTGAGTGAAAAGGACCCAGCAAGTATGTCTAGTTCCTCTCTCTCTCTCAGTGGTCCTGGTGACCAGCATGTAGACACACTTCTTCCAAAATGACTCTTGCAAGAACTGAGGAGATTAAAGGTTTTGTTTTTTGGGGGGGTAGTGCAGAGGTTGTCTCTGTTGTGTTTTGTCACTGCTGTAATTGACAGATCACTTTTTCCTCACTTAATGTTCCCCTTTATACAGATATATCATCAGGGTTGACATTTTTGAAATGTACTAATTTGGAATTTTCTTATTAAGAATCCTTTTAAAAAGCATGGATAGAAACATTTCTTAATTTCCTTTATTACTTCATATTAGTGTTTCTGCTTCCATATTAGTAAGGGTCTTACTCGCAAGAAAGTGAACAGACCTGAGATCCAAAGTATCAAACATGCTTAGGTTCAGTCCTCTTTCACACTGCACATCTCTGGCTGCTGCCTCTTCATTTGCAGCATGGCTGCTTCTATTCTAATAGCCTCATCTTGCAAAGACTGTAAAAGAGCATGTTCATAAGCTTCATCCCTCAAGTGATGTCCTAATGTTACTGCATGAGACAGGAAATACAACTATCAGAATCAACAATACAATGGAACTGGCTGCATGCACGCTGTTGTCAAAGAGGAGCACATCTTTTCCAGCACTAATTTTTTTCAATCAGCGATCTTAGGTGTTACTTGTAACACTAGCAGATACAAAACTAAGGTGGGAATTACCTTTTTCAAGTAAAAGTGTACCCCTTTAAAAAGTATAGATTTTAAAAGCCAATTTCCTTAGCTATGTCACGACCTGAGGTTTTCAAAACAGAGAACTCTCAAAACATAACTTGCTTTTAATACTGTTTGTTTTATGTACTTCGGTGTGCTTGGCCGATGAAAATAATCTGGTCAATTTCTCTTGTTTCTAGTCAATTTCTTTTTCTGCCTCTTACATATATGTAAAAGACAGTAGTAGCAGCTTGTAGATAATATTTAAAACAATGTTTTCAGTGGAATTTAAATAATTCTGTACATCTAAGGTTTTTCAAAAAGTCAGTTTTAGGAACCAAAATTGTTGGCCCCAAATTTACCTCACAGTATTGCCAGTTGCAGATTTTTTTTTTTTTTAAAGTTATACACTTTGGTGCCTGACCCCTCTGACTGTGTTAAATGATAGTGAAACAACACCTGGGGTTTGTGTACTCTTTACTATTAGAGCAATTGCTGCCTTCAGTTTTCTGCTGTGGTAATATTGGGGGCATTAAAAGATTTATGATCAGTAGGTGCCCAACACTCTTACTTGACTATTTTGGTGGTTTTAGAAGCTGATCTGAGGTGTTCAATTAAACAATTCCTTATTCTATGCCTGAGGTCTATAGTCAAACTATACATATTTGTACTGACAATTATTGTAATCCCAGAAAGAGGTCTTTTAACCACCCTCTCCCAGGGCTAATATTTATGATAAAGTACAGTAAATCACTTACAATTGTCCTTCATTTACAAAAATTGTCATTAATGCTAGTAAAGATAGGTTACGTGTAAATGTTTCCTAACATGCTCTACAAACATGCACAGAGTAATCATTTCACTATTAACATGCAACCACCCTTGCCCTAGAACTCTGTTGTAGTGGAATGGCATATAGCAGGGGTTCTCAAACTGGGGATTGGGACCCCTCGGGGTCACGAGGTTATTACATGGGGGGTTGTGAGCTGTCAGCTTCCACCCCAAACCCGGATTTGCCTCCAGCATTTATAATGGTGTTAAATATATAAAGTTTTTTAATTTATATGGGGGGATTGCACTCAGAGGCGTGCTATATGAAAGTGGTCACCAGTACTACAGTTAAGGAAAACCCTGATGAAGAATACCACATCTAGATGAAACTGCACAAGGGACTTCTAGATGGACAATAGAATTATCCATGGTGGAATTTGGCCAGAATAAACTATTCTTGTTGACTACCAAGTGTTCCAAGGTGAGTGGAACATCACATCCCAGATGCCACACTGATACCTGTTTTGGTGCAAATGTTGTAAGTAGGCATTTGAGTGACTGATGAAGATTTCAATTGCAACTATCTAAGGTAATTGAATAGGGGGTGCTATTATATGAGGTATGTACTAACAATTCTCAGACTGTTGACGTTATATTTCATAATATAGGTGGTATGTAGAATCACAGCACATCTTACATCAGAGTGATTGAAAATCCATTTTTTCAAAAAAATATTTAAGAATTTCTTCTCCTTAAAAGTAAATTTAAAATTAAATTTGAAATTGATAACTTAGGACAGGGGTAGGCAACCTATGGCACACGTACCAAAGGCGGCACGCAAGCTGATTTTCAGTGGCAGTCACACTTCCCGAGTCCTGGCCACTGGTCCTGGGGGCTCTGCATTTTAATTTAATTTTAAATGAAGTTTTTTAAACATTTAAAAACCTTATTTACTTTACATACAATAATTTAGTTGTATATGATAGACTTATAGAAAGAGACCTTCTAAAAACATTAAAATGTATTACTGGCATACGAAACCTTAAATCAGAGTGAATAAATGAAGACTCGGCACACCACTTCTGAAAGGTTGCTGAACCCAACTTAGGCCAATGCCTCAACTTACTATAATCTATTAACATTTAAATAAATAATCAAGCAGTACATGTTAGCTGTCAAAGTTTTAAAGAAAGTCAAACCAGTGAACTGGTGGAAGTCATTGGCTTCAGCATTTGAAATGAAGTGCTGAACCACCTTTTGACAGTAGTGACTTCTTATGCAGGTACAGAGGATATTTTCTTCATTTCAGTTCAATGACTCATTCATTCAAAGTTGAGAAACTAACTGGGAGTTAAAAAAAACAAAAAACAAATTGTTTTCCTCTTCCAATTTAAGAATAAAAAGGTGTGAGGATGAGTTCTACCATCATGAAGGACATAGGTATCTAAATACCT